ACTCTGCAGCAAACCGCCCCAGTGCATGCTGAAGGTCCATGTCTGATGAAGCCAACAGAACAACATCGTCTGCGAATAACAGAGATGAAATCCTGTGTTCCCCAAACCGGACCCCCTCCAGCCCAAGCCTGCGCCTTGAAATTCTGTCCATAAAAATTATGAATAGAATTGGTGACAAGGTGCAGCCCTGCCAGAGTCCGACATGCACTGGAAACAAATGTGACTTATTGCCGGCAATGCGAACCAGACTCCTAATCTATTCATACAGGGACGAGATGGCCCTCAACAGATCGCCTCTGACCCCATACACCCTGAGCACCCTCCACAGAATGCCGCGAGGGACACGATTTAATGCCTTCTCCAAATCCACAAAACACATGTGGACTGGTTGAGCATACTCCCATGAACCCTCGAGCACCCTGGTGATGGTATAGACCGCAGTGTACCATGGCCCGGACGCAAAACGCATTGTTCCTCCTGGATCCTAGGTTCAACCATTGGCCGGATCCTCCTCTCCTCCTACCCTGGCATAGACTTTCCCCGGGAGGCTGAGGAGTGTGATCCCCCTATAGTTGGAGCACACCCTCCGGTCTCCCTTCTTAAAAATGGGAACCACTTCCCCAGTTGCCGAGTCTAAAGGTACTGTCCCCAACCTCCATGCGATGTTGTAAAAACGTGTCAGCCACGACAGCCTCACAACATCCAGAGACCTAAGATACACAGGGTGAATCTCATCCACCCGAGCTGCTTTGCCACTCCTCCCTGAACCGCCACCTTATCGTGGTGGAGGGGTTTGAGTGCCTGAGTGATCCTAAGAGCTATGTTGTCAGGGGCTAATGCCCCTGGTAGGGTCTTCCAAGGCAAACAGGTCTTAGGTGACAGGTCAGACTAAGTGTGGTTCAAAAACCCCTTATGTGTTCTATAACATCAAGAACTGTGACGTCGCCCGGTATGGCGCAGCCAGGGCCCCACCCTGGAGCCAGGCCTGGGGTTGGGGCTCGTATGCGAGCGCCTGGTGGCCGGATTTTTTCCCACGGAACCCGGCCGGGCCTAGCCCGAAGGAGCGACGTGGGACCATTCTCCCGCAGGCCCACCACCTGCAGGGGGAGCCGTAAGGGGCCAGTGCATTGTAGAACGGGTGGTTGTTGAAGGTTAGGACCACAACAACCGGATCGTCGGGCACAGAAACTGGCTCTTGGGACATGGAATTGTTATCATTATATATAAATTTTTTTTTTTATTTTTGTTGGCCCACCCGAAATGTCACATGGCCCACCCTAGAGTTCCAAGTTGGAGCCGGGCCTGATTTTTAAGGGTTTTTAAGGAAGGGTGAGGGGTGGGGGAGCTTGACTGTTTTATGCTCAATCTAACATGAATATGAATGTACGAATGGTGTGGAACCCAGCAATTTACAGTGTATATCTATTATCTATTTATTTAGGTTATAACCTTAATAGATTTATTACAGTACATCCTATATCAGTTGGGCACAGATATGCATTATAAATAACAATACAATTCTTAAGCATTAAATAAAGAACAATATCTTAAAAACATTGCTATTACACAGAAACAAATGTATTGAATACAAGCAGTTTTAATAAACTTTCTGTTTGAGCTCTCCTTAACAGCAAGTCAAATTCCTTTAAAAAAGCTGATTGCCGAATTATTGTTCTGTTTAATCGTTTGACGTTGGCTAGTAGACTAAATCTTTACTGTAATTAAATATTTTCAGGTTACTAGAGCTAAAATGTCGTCAAAGATGTCGAAATTTTCGTGAATCGTAGGAATTTTCACACAATACTATAAACAAGCTTAATATTAATGGAACAGTTACCTCTGACTCTAAATTAATATCTAAATATTGCTCTATGTTCTACAGTAAATTATACACTTCCAACTACTCAGAACAATTAACATCCTCATTTTTATCATCCTTAAAAAAATCCTACAAATATCTCATTAGAAGATAGGATTTTTTGTGACAAGCCCATAACTAGTAAAGAAATACTGGATGCAATCAACCATTTAAAAATAATAAATCCTCTGGAACAGATGGGATGGTATCAGAGTTTTATAAAACTTTTGCCCAACAGATGGCGCCTTTCTTATTGCATGTATTTAATGAGAGTATTTCCAATAGCAAATTGCCACCAACTATGAATCAAGGTCTTATCACACTTGTCCCAAAGTCAAATAAAGATCTCTTGTTTATTGATAATTGGCGACCAATATGTCTATTAAATTATGATTATAAAATATTTGCAGCAATTCTTGCTGAAAGATTTAAAGATATATTAGACTCAGTTATTGATCAAACCCAATCAGGATTTATGAAGAATAGACATATTGCTAACAATATCAGACTAGTTTTGGACATTCTCGATTACTCCCACTTGATTTCAGAGAAAAGTTATATATTATTTTTAGACTTCTATAAAGCTTTTGATACCCTTGAACATAATTTTATTTTTCTCAGTCTTAAAAGGTTTGGGTTTGGTCCATTTTTTTGTAACGCAATTCAAACTCTTTATAGTAATGCTAACAGCTCAATTAAACTGAAAAATGGGACTTCAACTAGATTTGATGTTAAAAGGGGCATACGCCAAGGATGTCCCATTTCTCCTTATTTATTTCTACTGGCTGCACAATTATTAGCAGATCATATTAAGCAAAGTGATCTTTTAGGCATCAATATAGCAGAAAGGGAAGTGATTGTCAGTCAGTTAGCGGATGACACTACTCTCTTTTTAAAAAATAGTGATCAAGTTGCCATAGCTTTAGGAGTAATAAATACATTTTCAGAAGCATCTGGTTTACACCTGAATATTGCCAAATGTGAATTATTATCTGTGAAAGATTGTGATGCTCCCTCTATTTGCAATATCCCGATTAAAGAAAAAGTAGTTTATTTAGGAATTGTTATAACCAAAAATGAATCCATACGCTGTAGTGAAAATTTTACTCCAATTATAGAAAAAACTCATAAAAAACTTAATCAGTGGCTTCAAAGAAATATCTCTTTAAATGGAAGAGTGCTACTTACTAAAGCTGAAGGTCTATCCAGATTAATCTATGCCGCTTTGGTCTTGCAATTAGAAAACAAAATTTGTAAAACAATAGACAAGTTATTATTTAACTTTGTTTGGAGAAATCGTACACATCACATTAAGAAAACAGTTGTTAAGAACACCTATGAAAATGGAGGATTAAATTTTTTAGATTTTAATACATTAAATTGCACCTTTAAAGTTAATTGGATGAAACAATTTTTAAAGTGCCCCACATCGATTTGGAATTATATCCCTAATTATATTTTTTCACAGCTGGGTGGCTTGAACTTTCTCTCCCTGTGTCATTATAATATTGAGAAGTTACCTGTAAAGCTCTCGGCATTTCACAAGCAAATGCTTCTTGCTTGGTCTCTTATCTATAAACACAACTTTTCTCAACACTCTTTTTTTGTTTGGAATAACCGCAATATACTCTACAAAAACAAATCCTTATTTCTTCAGAGTTGGTATGATAAAAAAATTATTTTAGTTCATGATCTCTTTAATGAAAATGGTTTTTTGCTATCATATTATGAGTTCTTACAGAAGTTCGATTTTCCTGTCTCACCAAAAGAATTTGCCATTGTATTTGATGCTGTTCCTGCAGGAATTATTACACTGTTTAAAGGCTTGAACAGAACTCTATGTATCACACCATCTCTCTGTGATCCATTTGAAACAACAGTGGGCAAAGCTTGTCTTGTTCCAAATTCAACTAACAAATCAATCCGTATTTTATTTCAGAAAGAAGTTGTTGCAAAATCTTATGTTATTACTTACTGGAGCAATTTTACAAATATTTCAAACTGGAGAAAAGTTTGGCTTTTGCCACACAAATATCTTATTGTGAACAAAGTCAGAGAAGTGTCTTTTAAATTAATTCACAGATTCTACCCAGTGAGTAGCTATTTAAAAAGATTTAAATTAAATATTAACACAATGTGCACTTTCTGTAATTCAAAAGAAGAAACAACTGTACATTTATTTTGGTATTGTTCCTACACAAAAACATTTTGGGGTAACTTTTGCAAATTTGTAATTGAGTTTATATATTCCAATTTTTCTTTGCTTTGGGAAAATGTATTATTTGGTTTTATTGATACAGACAGTAGTACAGAAAAAGTGTTCTACTTCATAAATCTTTTACTTTTACTTGCTAAATATCATATCCATAAAAGCAAATTCTCCAATAATAAACCGCTTTTTAAGGTATTCATAAAAGAACTGAAACTTTGAAACACTTTCTGGTTCAGGAAACACTAAGGCTAGGAAAACATTATCTTGTCATGCCCTATTTAAAATTCCCCTGTAAACAGCGGTACTTTGTTTTGATTTACTTACACTATTAATATTGTATTTTTATTTTAAGCTTTACGTTATATGTATCTCCAATTTATTGTATTTTTTCCCCTTCTTTACTGTTTTATCCCCCTGGCATCTTTTATGTTCCTTATGTAATTCCTAATGTTTCATTATGCTGTAATAATTTACTGTTTAATAAAAAATAAAAAAAATCGTAGGAATTTTCGAGAGGGTGCTCGCTGCAGAGCCATTTGAGCAGAGCTGAGCTCCAGCGAGGGGGAGCATGAGCTGTCGCTCCTCCTCCTGTAAGCTGTTTTAATGCGTACACCAACCCCACCCCTAACCCTACCCCCAGTGACATCACTCGTAGAAGAAGCGCAAAAAAGGTGGAGCTCAAGCTTAAGCTCCCCCTCGCTGGAGCTCAGCTCTCCTCAAATGGCTCTGCAGCGAGCACCACTTGGAATTTTCCGCCATCTAGTGTTGAATAGAGTGAACATATCAGCTAACGTAAAATGACAGAAGATTAACATGCTCTAACTGCTTACAGCCTCCCAATAATTTACAGCATTTTCAAACACATTGTAAGCCATTTTATCGGCGCATGTGTGAGTTCAGCCAAATATTATAGAATACACTTAAAGTGACTCTGGTTCTTCGTTGTAAGTAAGACTAGGAACCTTTATCTCGCTGAATCACCCCGGAACAATTTAGAGGCGGCGCGCGGCTGCACACGCGGGTTCACTGTGTGCTGTGTTTTGGTGGAACGGCTCTTCAAAACCGCTGTCGCTACCATTAGCTTGACCATGTTGAAGTCCAAAACATTTGTAAAAAAGACCCGTTCTGGCGGAGTGTTGAAAATCGTACGGGAACATTATCTCCGAGATGACATCTGGTGTGGAAGTGAAGTTTGTAAGGAGTGCAAAGATGAAGCTCCGGTGCTGCAAGAAGAAACTTGTATAGAAAGCAACCTCTGCCCATATCCTCACTATTTAATCCCAGACACCAATGTGGTTTTACATCAGGTACATTCTGTTTTTTTTGTTGTTTTGTTTTGTTGTTTTATATGTGTAATTCACTTGTCTGTAGTTGAACCCCAACATTGTCTTCAGAATATCTGAAAAAGATATTGAATTAACGCTAGTCCGTTAACGTTAGACTTTTTGTGTTGTCATTGTATGACAAATTATCATGAGGAACCTTATGAAGCGGGGTTAAAAAATCTGTAACGTTAGTTGGCTTAAGGGCTTTAACGTGTACTTAAAAAAAAATATGACTGTTTTTTGTTATTTGTATTGTGTTTTGTTGTTTATAAAGGTTAATTAATTACGTTTTATTTATTTAACTTTAGTTATTAAAATAGGTCACTGCTTTAGTCAAAATTAAAACTGCAAAGTTTTAAATGCTGCATCAAATCATTTCCATAAAACAACAGTTTTGTTTAGGGCCCCCAAATATCGAGAAGTTCTTTACATATGAAGAAAGATAATTCATCCCCGTCTAGTGTTTGTGCCTTTCTCTCCAAAAGTTATAACAATAAAAATGTTGAAAATAAAATAGGTGCGGCACATTTGCTCAGTGGTTTAGCATGGTTGCTTCACAGCAAGAAGGTCGCTGGTTTTAGCCTCGGCTGGGTCAGTTGGTCGTAGTTAGGGTTGTAACGGTATGAATTTTTTACGGTATGATAATCGTCTAAAACAATACCACGGTTTGACGGTTTCGCGGTATACGGTATGTTACAAATGTTACAAAATAATAGAACAGTGAAGCAAATTTGACTTTTTCCAAATAATATATTTTCAGTTACTATAAACAACACCACTTACAATGAACAAATAAAAAAATAAGAAAATAATAAATAATGTGTCAAAGTCCAAATAAAGTCCAAATAAACATGGTGCAAATCCTCAGTAAAAAAAAATAGATATAAATATTTACTATACTATAAATAGTTACATAACGAAACTAGATTCAATATGGAACATCCTTAGGTTTTATGTGCCAGCATGGATATGGTTGTCTGTGGATATGGATTTGGATATGGTTGTCTGCAATGCAGACAAACAGCTGCACCTTCATTTGCGTCTTTTGAAAACAGCAAGAGCAGCAGTTCGTCTTTGCTGTGTCACTGTTTTGTCATGTTTCTGTGCTGATGTGCATGCAAAAGTACTTTTATTTATATTTTTTCTATTTTTTCTATACTTTCTATTTTTATTTAGCCGCGCATAAATGTATGCCTATCTCTCATTCTGTGTTGTTCAAAAAGCTCGTTTTTGGTCCACAAACAAAAGCGAAACCTATGCTTATTGGTTGTGATATAGCGAGTTTGAACCAATCTGGGCATGGAGGAGGGACAATGCATCAATGTATCGTGTCTGGTTTGTCCGGAGACACAGTGACGAGCGTTTCTTTGTCAAATCAGCGTGGTCAAATTTTGATGAAGTAACCGCACTGATTCCGGAGCCTCTGAAAGTCCGCGAATGTTATGTGATACAGCACTGGAAAGCTGAGATTCTCTTCTTTATGCCAATCTTTGAATTGTATGAATCGGATCAGCGGATCAAAAGTTATTAAACATTTAAGAGCAATACTTATTTTTAGCCGCGGGCGGTTGTCTCGGTCTTTAAGGGTTAAAACCGTTTATATGCAATTGTTCATGGTGTGATAATCGTGCACGTTCAAATCGTGGTAGACCGTCATACCGATATATTGTTACAACCCTAGTCGTAGTATATGTGTGTGAATGAGTGTGTATTTTTAAATGATTAGTTTTCTTAAAATGAATTTACAACTAACAATAATAAATATTTTTTTTAGATATAATTTTACTGCTGACTGCTCCATGATAGATCATTTATTTTGTAATATTATTATTATTAATACATTTCATTTATTTTATTTTTGGCTTAGTCCCTTTATTAATCTGGCGGAATGAACTGCCAACTTATCCATCATAAGTTTTTGCGCAGCACATGCCTTTCCAGCTGCAACCCATCTCTGGGAAACATCCATAAACACTTATTCACACACACACACTACGGACATTTTAGCTTACCCAATTCACCTGTACCGCTTGTCTTTGGACTGTGGGGGAAACTGAAGCACCCGGAGGGAAAACGCAGGGAGAATATGCAAACTCCCCACAGAAACGCCAACTGACCCAGCCGAGGCTTGAACCAGCGACCTTCATGCTGTGAGGCGACAGCACTACCTACTGCGCCACTGCGTCACCCATTACATATTATATTTGATTGTATATTAAATAATATTTAATTATGTTAAAATTGTATTTGTACGATGTTATATATAGTTTATAAGTATAATTTATACTTCTAGATATTTATTGGGGGGCCCCATTACCTGGGGCCCTAAGCAGGTGCTTACCTCGCCTATTGGTTAAATCAATAATGGTAAGAACAAGCACTGAAATGCCAACTAACCCAGCTGGGATTCAAACCAGCAAATTGCTTAGTGTGAGGTGACAGTGCTAACCCCTGAGCCACCATCTCACCCCATATTTAATTGTTAATAATATAAATATATTACACTGTGCAATAAATTCATTTGTTAATAATATCTATACTAAAATATTTATATATTATTTGACATTAAAAACAAAAACTATCTATACAAAGTATAATATATATATATATATATATATATATATATATATGAAATAGCCAGTGTTTTGCTGAAATAACAGAAAACAGCATTTTAATGTAAAATGAGCAGGATTTGTATGAAATTGTGTAGTCTAAAGAATAAATTACAGTAATTTACTTTATGTAGCCATTACAGGTAGTAACTGTGATAATAAATGGTAAATTACTGTTCAACCATTACTGTCCCATCTACTCTGATGCTTTAAGGTGCTAAATATAGAATAGTGCATTTATCTTAATGCAGAAAACAATAATTTAGACATTGACACACACATACACAGGATGTCTGTCTTATTTTAAACAAAATTGTGAAAAAAAGTTTTCAAAATATGTTGGCCCTTTAAGGGAGCCAGGTGTTTGATTTGTTTACTTCTGAGTGCTCTGTTCTCTGTTTAGCAGTTCAGATGCAGAGTCTGGTGTTTTAATCCAAAAATCTACAATGAGTAAGTAAAATGTGTTCAAATGTTTTTCAGGGTTTCTAAACTAAGTCTGTGTATTAAGTTATATTGTTGTTGTCTTGAACTGTGTACTTGAGGGCTACATTGTTAGCTAGTTAGCCTCTCCTCATATAACTTTTTACATTACTTTCATTTAACTATATTTATTCATTGGATATTGCCTATTTCCATAATGTACTTTTTGGCAAATAAGCAGATTGTATACACATAAAAACCATTAAATTCCAATCTCCTCAGCTAGGTAGCTAATGTGAATCATCACAGGGATTCACAAACCTCTACTCTCAGGTCCTAAGTATTGCTAAGTATTTTTCAGAGCTGTGTTTCCAATTATCAATTCCTAAGGACAATAGAAATGTTTGTTTTCTTGAACATTTTTAAGTAAATAATAATACGATTAGATCCTTTGGGTTCTCTGTGTTGCCGACTTTTGTTTTGTTTTTTGTTTTTATAATTATTTTAAACTTTTTTTATTGAGTATTGTGTTTTTTGACAAACGTGTTTCTAACCAAATATACAGTATGTGTGTGTTGTTTTGAAATGCTATTTTGTTTTAATTATTTGAAACCTGAGAAAACTTTTTTTTCTTTTTGATCCTTTTTTGTTTTTAACCTTATATTAGTGTAACTTTGTATATCAGGATTCAAGTAATGCCACATTAGAGCTTTTTCAAAGGGATGTATTATACTATATATGAACGACATGCATTAAAAGGTGAAATAAAAAACTCTCTCTTAAACAACACTTCCATTTTATTATTATTATTATTTTTTTTTTGCAGAGGCTCAATAAAGTTGACTGAACATCAACTGAAGTGAGTGAAAGTGGTGTTTGTTGAATAAAGTGTTTCTTAAATAAATTCATAAATCAGGTTATTATTTTTTTTACTACTACAGGTTTGGAACAACATGAGGATCAGTGCTGAACGATTTTTTATTTTTTGCTTTGGATGGAGTTTGTTAAGTAATTATTGTATATTGTTTTTTATTTCATTATTATTATTTTTTTGCATTTGTGACTGTGATAAATGTTGGCAGTTGCTTAAATGTGGTCAAACTCAGTTCCTGGAGGGCTGCAGCCAGCAGAGTTTAGTTCCCACCCTGCTTCAACATTAACTGTAGATTTCTAATAATCCTCAATTAGTTGATCAGATGTGTTTAATTTGAGTTAACGCTAAACTCTGTGGCCCTCTGTAATATGTCAGATGATATTTAAATGTTTGACAACTGTGCTATATACACAGCATGTGTTGATTGCTTTAATTTTGTTGTACATTTTCTGTTTTATATTTGTTTGCTGCCAAAACAATAAAATACATGTGTCTGAACAACTGATATGCATTTTAACACTTAAGAATACTGATTAATTTTAGTAACACTACAATAACTATAAATGACATACCATTAATGTTTACGCAGTATAATCCTGTGAGTTGCAACACGACAGTACAGTAAGTAACTGTAAGCAGTCTCCAGTTAGTTACCGCTACTGCTCTATTACAGTAATTAACTGACAACACTGTTGCCAGCTACTCACTGTAATGGTTCAGTTACAGTAATTACCTGGCAACACTGTTGCCAGTTAGAAACTGTTTAGTTACAGTAATTCACTGGCAACACTATTGCCAATTACTCACTGTAACCAAACCATTACAGTGAGTAGCTGGCATATATATATATATATATATATATATATATATATATATATATATATATATATATATATAAACAGGATTAAAAATATTAAGACCATTATGAATTAAATTTTCATAAAGGGCTAAAGGTTTTTAAATGGCCCAGATAGAAAAGATTTTTTTTTTTGCCCTATCAAAAAATATTATTATTTAATACATTTGATAATGCAATAATAAATTAATAATAAAAATTCTCCCTTGAGAACACAGACCCACAAAATTCTCTTTTGTGAGTGTAGAGACAAACATGACACTCCACTGTGTCATTTTGATGGCTTCTGATAGCAACACACTCTGATACGGGTCTGGCTTTCTAATCCTGCTGCTCTAAATTGGAAAAAAAAACTGGACTGTTTCAGTTCACAGCATGTCTTTTAATATTGGTGAAGTCATTAAGGTGTAGATTTTAAGATGTAGATTATACATATTTTAACAAAAGTATCATATGGCCAAAGAGAGCACCATCACTCATTCTACAAGCACTTTCAGTGATTTAATTCTGGAACTGGCCTTGCTTTATCAAACATTAAATTTGTCGTCTTTGCCCTACAAAAATTATCAAATCATCATTTAGTACATTAAAGGTGTAGTAGTAACCATGTTTATTTATTCATTAGTGTATTGATTGCAATTTGTATAACCACACCTTTACAAATATGCTGTTTTAACATTAAATACACATTTGCATACAGTACCTAGAAAATTACATAAAATGCTATGAAATAGTATAATTAACATACTTAAAATATTGAATATATTAAATAAATAGCTAATTGTTTAATGTATATAAAATATATTTAATTGTTAAAATATATTAAACTTAGCAATAAATTCAAATGTAAATATTTATATTTCTATATTATACATTTACATGTCATCTGAAATTGAAAAAGAAATATCTATACAAATCATGATATATATATATATATATATATATATATATATATATATATATATATATATTTATATATATATATATATATATATATTTTTTTTTTTTTAACAATCTGCACATTAAACCTCTGAGAATAATTGACAGTCTCTTGTGTTACTCACTGTATTTTGAGGTAGTGGTTGCCATTTTACTTTACAATGGGATGTTTTAGAATTGATTATTTATTTAATTGACTTTTTTTATGTGTAATTTAAATAAACAGACTAATAAATGTTTACTGTGCTACAGTGTGTCTTTGTGTACAAATCAATCCCATGGCAAAGGTGACTAAGAACTTGAAAAAGTAGAAAAAAATGCATCAAAATATTAAAAGATAAAAAACTTTAAGTTTGCGCACTTAGTATGTAGTAAGTTACTGTTAATTTGTATTTATATTGTTATGTGAGTAAAGTTCTGATGTTAACTATTTTGTAATACATGTTTAATTTGTTGTGAATGTATTGAAAGATGTTAACATTTGAGTGCAGAAAAATCAACAACTTACAACATAACTAAACACAAAAGACTTTTAAAAAAAAAGGAGAGAGACACTTATTGAATGAAGATGACAAGTTTTATTTCAATCAGCTTCAGAGTCAGAATCAGCATCTGCTTTGTCTTCATAATCATATGCGTGCATCGTCATCTATGGTGACCCTCACCACCCCTCATCATCTGTGGTGACCCTCACCAACCCTTATCATCTGTGGTGACCCTCACCAACCCTGTGTCTTTGGTCACCCTCACCAGCCCTTCACAAGCCCCGTTGTTTTCTGGTGACCTCACCAGCCCTCACTCTCTTCCAGTAAATCTCACTGTCTGCTGCGACTGCTGTAGACCATCTCCAGCCACATAGGATTCTTCAATCGCTTCCACTTTGCCAGTGCACTTTCTCCAAAAATGTGTTATTCTTCGTCTTAGACGCCCAAGTCGTCCAAATTTTGGTGACTTTGATCTTTCAAAGACAGACACATCGTAAGCATGAATATGGATAACTTGCAAGCACTCCACAATATGTTAATTGCCATAAACAATTTGTGTGAGTTTGTGATCTGACAAGCATCAGTCTGCTGTGCGTGTTTGTGTTTAACATATACCTGGTCTCTGTGAGAGGCAGCTGCTGGACACACTCAATAGTGGAGTCTCCTCCCGCCTCAAACACATTGACAGCCTGCTCAAACACAAAATACATCTTTAAGTGTCTCACAAACCAAAATAATTATCATCATCGTTTTCAACACACAGATGTCATCAATTGAAAGTATATACTCACTGGTGAGTTGCTGGCAGATTCATAAGTGTACATGTTGGGAAGTAGATGTTTAAGGTTGTCCAGCATGTACTCAGTAAAGCTGATCCACATCTCCTGCTCCTCAAGCATTGTGGGCCCTTGAGGAACACTGCACATGCAGATAACCAAACATGTCACATTAATAAATGCACCAGACATCTTACTTGTATGATTGACAGCTCTATCAGACTGCTCTGTCGTTTCAGATTCTAAATATTGGAGCATGTAAGACCCTTCAGTCCAGAAGATATGTGCTCTGAAGTACACACAACATCAGCTGATTACAGATATAAAAGTAAACACTTACTGAAAGATGATTGGACCAAACACTAAGGACAGGTTGGTGGTGCTCATTCTGTTGACACCTCTTTCAGCAGCCACATGGGACAGGAAGAAAACCAAATAGCAGAGGAGGTTGAAATTTTCCTCTGGAAGGCTGTCCAGGATTTTCTTCACTGCTCGGTGACGTTTGCTCAGTTTGAACACTGCAAGATAACATATTAAAAGAATTTTAGAATTTGATAGAGCAAGTACATTAAATGTTCACTAATCAGCATTTGTACTACACTTACTCCTGAACACCTTCAGTAGCTCGATCATGAGTGGTGCTGGAATAAGACCACCGGGAAGCAATTTGAGGAAATGCTTTAAAACAGAGGCTGAGGAATGAACATCCTCACTGTTCAGCTCTGGAAAGCCTCCACGATCAAAACATCTCCTTAGCTCATACAGGCGCACAATTGCACCATCAACCCTGAACAGGCCACTTGTACTGAGGCCTAAAAACAAACACATATTTTACAAATACAGTCTCAGCATACGTGACTTGGAAACACTTTCAAATACACAGTACTCACCATGCTTCTCCAGGAAGCCCACTAAATGTGTGAGGAGCAAAGGAAGACCCTGCCTCATCTGACCGGTCTTCCTTAGATGAGGTAAGGGCACACCAAACACCTTGCTAGGTGTTTCCTCCTGCACAAGAAAGAGAATTACAAATGAGAAATAGTGTACATACCCAGCTGACTAGTATGTTAGTAACTTTAAGTGTATGAGGAAAAATAAAATGTATTAGGCCTATTTTTCTCCATACACACACACACACACACACACACACACACACACACACACTTACAGGGAAAGTAATGCAAAATCACTTAATAATGAAGACAATACATTGATAATTGATAATTTAATAAAAATTCTTTACTGAACAGTAAACATTTGTGAATTCACTATTATTCTATATGTGTGCAAATCGAATACTTACACACACTGATAAAACTCCCATTATGGGGGTTTTGCCGAATATGAACCAATCCGAGGGGTGTCCGAAGCCGTTTGTCAAATACAGAAAAGGGTCGTTACCGAGAATCCAAAACCGAGTGAAACGCAAATCCAAAGCCGTAGTCGAAGTCCGAAAAAAGTGTCAAAAACCGAGAGTCGATAACCGTAATCAATAGCAAAAATCGCAAACCGCACAAACACCACTACACCAACAAACGCCTGAACACCCAACAAAGAATTTCAATAAAGAATGTTCATATAAACCTGCCGCGGCTCTCACGTCATTGAAGCGCGTTCTAAATAGAATCTTAGAAATTTGTTATGTTTTAAAAACTGCACATACAAGTTAAGCTAAAAAAAAACTACTTACAATGATGAAAGGCAAACGAAAAGTTTTAGTCAATAAAAATTTAAACAAACTGCTTATAGTTTTCTCATATAAAGTGAAAGTCGCCAAAATTTCCAACATATAGGCTAGGTTATTTTATTTGTGGCAGATTCATTTACAAAACAGCTAGAAAAATAACATAGGCCTATATTCATGTAAACAAAGTTCACAAGGCTGAACAAAATATAAAAAAGCTAAAAATAAATAATATAGTAATCTTTAAGATCATTTTTATAATTTATATAATTAAGTTTTTCAATGTATTGTTTACATATAATATTAACATAACATCTTCAAATGAAATAATGTTACCACACAATTATGCTTTTACCAAACAAGTGAAAATAATAAAAAAATAATGTTTTAAAATATTTTTACAATTTTATTTAAATTA